TACATGTGGTCCCAGAGATAACATGACGAATTTTATTTTATAGTTATGGTATACTTTTATTCGTTAGCATAAAATAACATATGATGAAAAGTCTATTTGAATTTTGAAACAAAACAAAACAAAAAAACACTCCTATTTCAAAGCACCATTTGTAATCCTAAATAATGGTAATAGAAGCCTCTCACATATTCTCAAATAACTGATGCAGTGTTCATTCTGGGCAGAAGCTTACTCATTCTGATTAAAATTTAAATTCATGACACTATGTGCAAGTCACATCACCCCCATTGTGTGACTTTCTGAGTTGTTTGCTCCACTGTAGTGTTTCCTCATTTACTTTGGAACATTTCCTTTTCAAACTGAACTGTTACGTGTGTGCCTAGGTTTTTGTGTTGGGGAATACATATGCATTACGTCTTTTCTCCTTGATCTTGCCGTTAGTATACATCATGGAATGTTGACTATATCATAAATTAAATTTAAATATCCTTATTGTCATTTTTTTACTAGCAAGATGTTTTTATTTTCTAGAGTAGTGGTATAATCTGGAAACATAGAAGGGAATGCTTATTTCTAGTTACTGATTAGCTGATTTGCGTTTTTGAGCCATTGGTTCTTTAAAATAATTGTTAAACCTTTAAAAGTCTTAAGGAAAGCAATTCCAGCTATTTCTCCCTACTGAAAAGTCTGAAAACTTATCTATGTCTCTTAATAAAAACTAGTTTGCCTAATTAGTTTTGCATGTAAGTTGTCAACTTAAAAAAAAAATGAGTTAGCTTTTTCATGTTGATGGTGACAGTATGAGTTTGGCTAGGCTAAATTTGTATTCTTGTTCCAGTTTTGTTCAATAGTGATTATATCCTGGCCCATAATCAGTAGATTATAAATAAGGGTCAGATTCATTGTACTTTGTCAGTACAGTGTAAACACAGTCATGCAAAGATAATTATAGTAACCCAAGTCAAAAGCAAAGAATGTCAAAGTGCTTATATAAAACATCTTAAATATATTTAATCTCACGGTTAGCAGTTCGAAACTACCAGCAGTTCCACGGGAGAAAGATGAGGCTTTCTGCTTCCGTAAAGATTTACTGCCTCAGAAACCCTGTACAGGGTCGCTATGAGTCGGAACAGACTCCACAGCATATAACAACAAATATATTTAGAATCTATTTGTTATTGCTGTTGTTAAGTGCCATCGAGTTAATTCCGACCTGTAGCAACCCTGTATAGGGTTTCTGAGGAGCAGCTGGGGAGCTTGAACTGCCAACCTTGCAGTTCAAACGACTTTGCAGTCTGGCGCATTAACTCATACCCACTGCTGTGAAGTTGATTCTGTCTTATAATGACCCTGTAGGACAGAGTACGGAGCACTGGTAGCATAGTGGTTACGAATCGGGCTGTGAACCTTAAGATCAGCAGTTCAAAACCACCAGCTGCCCCAGGGGAGAAAGGTGAGGCTTTCTGCTCCCATAAAGATTTACATCCTGGGAAACCCTGTACAGGGTCACTATGAGTCGGAACCGACTCCATGGCACACAACAACAACAACAACGAGGACAGAGTAGAATTTTACCATGTGGTTTCTGTAATCTTTTCAGATAAAGACTGTCTCACCTGGCTCTCATAGAGCAGCTGTAGGTTTAAACCTCCGTGCCACCAGGGCTTCTATATCTAGGCACAGAGGATTCAATGAAAAAGGATAGAAAAATACTAATCATTTCAATGCTAAAAGCAAGTTGATATACACTAATTCCTCGCTTGAACATGGTTAGGTTCCAAAGACCAAGTTGTTTTGCAAAATTGGCCTTATGTAAGTAGGACACAGAGGTGCCCTGAATCCCAGACCTTCAGAACGACTTTTCTCTGACCCCCAAAGCTCTGTTTGTAGGGCTGGTGCTCAAGTAGACCTGTGACCTTAAAGCTGGCATCGATACTTGGAGACTTTGGGACTTGAGCAACTGCAAGAAGTTGGTGGGGACTGCTGCCTATACCCTCAGACCATTCCCCTCTGAAACCCCAGATGTCTATAGGCCAGGGAGGGTCCTGTGGAAATGACCACTGCTGGTCTTGGAGGGCAAGATTAACTGTTGTTCAGAAAATGAGCTCAGCAGCTTGGGCTGTGAAGGAGGAAGAGGAGGACAGAGACAAGGAGGAAGGCTTTTGCTGCAGCTCGCATGCCTGGAATTTCCCACAGTACCCTTCCCACTTGGTGCCTCCAGGGCATTTGAGGAGAGGGGAACAGCAGCAGAAATCTCTCCTGTGCCAGCCCCTTGTGGACCTCTCTGGCAAGGCCATTCATGGACCTTTCTCTGATAGGTTCCCTCAGAATCTGTCTCAGTCACCTGTTTTGCATGAAAAGTTGCAATGACTCTGTGGTGGGGCTGGGACTGGAAAGAGGCTTGCTGTGTCTGCTTTGAGCCTGACAGATAAGGGTTGCTGTGTGGGCTGGAAGCTGGACACAGGGAGGAAACCCAGGTTAATGTGCAAGATAATCAGATAGTAGATTGCTTACTTTTGTCCTAAATATGAAATGTTGGATAACAGGATATTTGGTAAGTGAAGAGGAGGTGTAGTAGCTATTTTGATAATACATAAGCTAAATCTTATGGCAGAAAGCTTTGCTATAGGACATTTCACTGGAGTTCAGATTCTGAAAATCATTTTGTTGATTATAATGAACTACAGTACGATACTTTAAAAAGTACTTGTCTAAAACTCAGTTTATAGCAGAACATCAAGGTGAACTGAATTACTGGAAGAGTTCCATAATATACATTAGTATTTTATGTAAGACATTAGTACTGAAACTGAAAAACTGTGAGAACAAACCTTTGCATATCTGAAACTACTGGTATCTGGAACTACTGGTGTGATATTTTTAAACAACTTTTAATACTCTATTTTTCCAAAAATGAAAAACTCTCAAAAGCAAAATATACAAAACTACATTCATTGGAGATAATTTGAACATTCACGAACAGGTAAAATAGACATTCAAATGTGATTTGAAATTTAATAAATTTGACTCAATTAAATTTGATGTGAAAACTGTAGAATTCATGTTCATTTCATACATACATGAAACATATACCAAAATTGGCCATAGTTTCAACATATTTCAAAGGATTAATCTGAAAGAATATATTCTCTGTCCTGAATGGAATTAAGCTAGCAAGCAGGGATAGCTATCTAGAAAATAATTTATATATAAAACTTAAAGTAGTACACCTTTTGTGACAGCTTAGTGGAATGATTAGAATAGAAGTAAATGAAATACAGAATACACAGTACAGATCAATAAAGCAAAAAAAAAATTATAGACTAATAAAAGTGATAATGGTTTAAGATCAAGCAAGGTGTGCACTAGGGTGGTATCCTTTTACCTTACTTGTTCAATCTGTATGATGAGCAGATACTTTAAGAAGCATCAAGCTTAGAGGAAGACTCACAACTTTCGATATGCAGATGACACAATCTTGCTTGCTGGAAGCAAAGAACACTAGAAGCATTTACTGATGAAGATCAAAGATTACAGCCATCAATATGGATTACACCTCAATGTAAAGAAAACTAAAATCCTAACAACTGGACTGGAGACATGATAAATGAAAAAGGATTGAAGTTATCAAAGATTTTATTTTGCTTGGATCTGCAATTCAAACTGACCAGTGCATTATCCTTCAGGACTTCAAAAGAGGATATTGTTGTTGTTATGTGCCGTTGAGTCGGTTCCGACCCATAGCAACCCTATACAGGGTTTCCAAGGCTGTAAATCTTTACGGGAGCAGAAAGCCTCATATTTCTTCTGTGGAGCAGCTGGTAGTTTTGAACTGCTGACCTTAAGGTTCGCAGCCCGATTCGTAACCACTACGCTACCAGAGCTCCTTAAAAGAGGATATAGCCATACATTATTTGTGGAATTCAAAGTTAATTTTAAAACGGATTGAAGCAGGTTTAGTGAGCCTTGGAGATCTCACTACCCCAGACTGAGGCAGCTCTTCAGGTCCCTTGGGTTCAAGCAAACATAGTCTGAGAAACTGCTAATCCAATCTAACCTTCTCTTGAAAAGTCCTTAGATATTCATGAACATGGCTCAAGGGCTCTTAAAAACAATACAAGGAATTATTAATATAACATGTGAAGTGCCATCGAGTCACTGTCAACTCTTAACAACTCCTTTATAGGATTTCTGAGGAACAGCTGGTGGCTTTGAACTATTGACCATGTGGTTCCAAGTCCAGTGCTGATAATTAGTAATGCCTTATTTTATGAGAAATTCTACAATCTGTATTTTGTGAAATATATGCCATCTAATTTTATGGTGCTGTGGGATAATGTGCTAGACCACAAGGTCAGTTTGAACCTCAAGCTCAGTGGTTCAAATTCACCAGCAGCTCCTTGGAAACCTATACAGGGTTGCTATGAATCAGAACTGACTTGATAGCACTTAACAACAACAACAGCAATTTTGGTAAGTATTATCAGTTGTGTCCTACTAGAATTATAACATCACCCTATTGTTGCATTTGAGAAAAATGATACTGATGAAATATAAATAAAATTTGTTCTTATTCTGTGCAAAATGTCTACAATTTGTTAAAATAGCTTGACTGTTTTTTTTTTTGTTTTTTTTTTTATGGTTTCCACTAAAAAGCAGCACTAAGTGATTCTTAGAAGAGTTGGTTTTCTATAATACTACATCTATTTTGAAATAAGAGGGAATTGGGAAACTAGGATATGAAGGATCATATAGGAATTTTACTGAAAACAACTAGAATGAAGCTATTTCAGGAATCAGGTATACCCATATAACTTTCCCCAAAATTTCTTCTGAAATGTATAGTTTAGGGTTCCCCTCAAGCCTGTCCTCTGAATCAGACAGGTTCTGTGGAATAAAAGAATAAAGATAATCCACTTGCTTTATAATATTTGTATATGAATTTGTTAATGTTTTTATTATTTTACAATATTCTAAATCCAAAATGTTTATTTCCCTAGGGAGTTGGTCTCTCAGTTCATGGGCAATTCCGAGTGGCTACCGAAAAGACTCTCTTTGCAATGCCAGAAACAGCAATTGGTAAAAAGCAAAAAATATGTATATTCATACTTATTTCAAGAATATTCTTCCTTTGATACTCTTCGGCTTACATCCTGTTACTGAAGGAATTTATAGAATCTTGTGTGACATATAATGAAAGATCTTTTAAATAGAAATAAGAATAGAAAGATAACCTAAGAGTTTTATTAGCTCTCATTGCATCTGTAAACACAAAAATAAGAATATTTAACTGGAGACACTAACAACACTACAGTTAATTTTAAATGAAAGATTATTGGGGGGAAGTATTCTAAAATTTATATTGGTGATTTATTTTGAATTAATATTTATGGTATGGGGTATGGATGAAAATTTATTATCTTATATGAGAGGGCTTTAAAAAGTTCATGGAAAAATTCCATTATCTCTTAACTCCATTTACCGCAAACTTTTTGAAGTTCCCTCGTGTAGTCATTTCTCCAGTGATTATACCTGACACATTTGTTAGTTGTCTATGTTGATCTTTATGCCAATACTACATGGTCTTGATTACTGTAGCTTAATAATAAGTCTTGAAGTCAGTTTTAGTCCTCCAGATTCGTTTCATGTTTAGTTTTTTCCTCCAACATTCATTGTTTTGGCTATATAGATCCTTTGTATTTCCATATGACTTTTAGAATGAGTTTGTACATTTCAACAACACAGAAAGTCTGCTTGATTTTTAAGTGGTGTTACCTAGGATCTTTTGATGTGCACATACAAAACAGAAAATACATATTCGTTTAAATGTCCAAAGGGCACACTTTGCAAGCCAGCCTCCTGTCTGCAGGCACACAACCTTTCTCTGTCTGTGGGCCTATGGCAAGAGCCATACTTAATTAAAGAATAAAATAAATAGAGACATATTAATCGAGGAATTAAAATAAATAAATGAGACATGGGGAAACCTGGGCATCGAAGAATTCATTGTTTTTGCAGAGCAACAATGAATTATTTTCTTTGGATGGCAAAGCCACAAGAAATATTCTATGTGCAGGCCCCTAGTTAATTTTTTTCTTTTTGAATTATTCTCTGATTTATTCATGATTTTATTAGTGTCCTTTACTTTAGATTTTGACTCTCCTACACTTTAGTATATTTTTATTAAAAGTTAGAAGCCATACATTATTTACATTTTATTTATTGTAATCTTAGGTAGTTTTAATACTGATATTAACAATATTCTTAAGATTGCTAGGAGACAGGATTTGTCAATTGAATTGCTACTAGCTTAGGTTTAGTGATTATAAACATTCTTCCTTGTAGCCTTAGTTTAAGGCAATTAAGAATATACTTTATTTAAGGCCATAAATAAGGGCTGTGGGTACAAGAATTCCTAAAAACAATTAGACTATAGATAAAGGCTATGGGTATAAACATATACTAAATAAAAAGTCTTAGACTTAGACGTTCTTAAATTAATGATCAGTAAAATAGGGAAGTTGTTTTTCATAGCCTCAGTTTCCCTGATAAGTGATGTTTTTGTAGGCTATAAACAGATAGTGTATGGAAGAAGTTAATGGAGCGTTAATTGCACCTAACAACTAAAATTAACAAGACATAACAGACAAAGGTTAAGAAACATATGTGAAGGTTTACTTGCTTCTCAGAGAAAAGAATAAATTTATGTAGGAACAAATGTTTAACTAAAAGGTTTCAAGGTACCAGAATGCCTCATATGCCTTGAGATAATGTCTCTTTGCTGTAACTTTTCATCCCTGTTGTAAATCATGAAGAATGTGCCCCAGATTTGATTGTATTTTGATGTCATTGATTACTATGAAAGCAATGTTTTTTGTAACAGTATATAAGGGGGTTGTAAGATAGAATAAGTAAGTAGAGGTAAGTAGAAGCAGAAGGAAGTAGAGGTAAGTAGAAGGAAAGAAGTAGGGAGAGGAAGGGGGAGAAGAAGGAATATGAGGTGGAGAGGAGACAAGAAAAGAATGGAGGGAGAATAGAGGGAGTAATGTAGAGAAGGAGCAGGGGAGTGGAGTAGAGAAAGAAGTAATGTAGATAATTAGGAGTAGTGTAGAAGGAAAAAGAATAAGAGTAATGTAGAGAAGGAGACAGTAAAGAAATGGAAGGAGGAGAAGCTATGAAAGAAGCAGAAGAGATGAGCAGCAGAGGAGAGAATGAAAGCAGGAGCAGGGGAAGGGAGAAAAGCAGAAGAGATGAGCAGGAAAGCAGGGAAGTAAAGGATGAGTAGGACAGTAAAGAATGAGAGAGTAGAGTAGCATAGAAATGAGAAGAATAAAGCATGTAATAAGAAGATTTTGAATTCATCACGACCCATGACTCTGTGTAATTCTTATCGCCGACGTCCGCATCAACCTTCGGAAAAAACCCTTGAAATAAATTTGCTGGTGCTGGCTCCTGGCAGGCCTAGTGTCAGCTGCTCTCTTCTCTCTCTGCCATGGCCTCTCTCACAGTTTCTCTGCTGCCAGTTTTCTGCTTCAGATCCCATGCTCCACTCATGTTCTTCCCTTTTGCTGGTTGGGATTGCTTAGAATCCTGTAGATTGGGGAGAAATGACTTCCTAATTAAAGAAACTTCAGATCCGTGAGCACAGTTTATTTCTTCACTTTACTTGTTGTTGTTGTTGTGTGACGTCAGGTCAGTTCTGACTCGTAGAGCTCCTTATAGGGTTTCCAAGGCTGTAAATCTCTATAGGAGCAGAAAGCCTCCTCTTTCTCCCACAGAGTAACTGGTGGATTCCAGCCAGCAGGTAACTTGCTATACCACCTGGGCTCCCTCACTTAGTTTAGTCTTTTACATTTCTTAGTTAGGTTTTGCAGATTTTTAGTGTATAGGTCTTGCAATCTTCATTATGAAGTATGTTTGTTTTATATTTTTTGAAGCTATTCTAAATTAAAAATTAAAAATTCAGTTTCTATTAATTGCATATATATAGCAAGAAAATTGTTTGTTGCATGTGGATTTTGTTATCCTGAAAACTTGATAAATTCATTTGCTCTAGTAGATTTAAAAAATAGATTCCATTGGCTTTCCTAAACAGACAATCATGTCTATTAAGTATGCAAATAAAATTATTAATACATATAAATATGCAAATAAAATCAGTTTTACTGTTTAATCTGGATAGCTTCTATTTTATTTTCTTGCATTAATGTACTGACTAGATCCTCCAGTACAGTGTTGCTAGAAGTGGTGAGAAATCTTGTTGCTGATCTTAGGGAAAATGTTCAGTCTTTTGCCTTATGTATGATGTTAGATCTAGTTTTTTTTTTATAGATGCCCTTTATCAGGGTGAGGAAGTTCCCTTCTATTTGTAGTATACTGAGAGTTCTTATTAGGAGCGCTTTTCTGCATCTATTGAGATGATTCTATGTTTCATTTTTTTAAATGCCTAATACTGTAAATTGAAGGAGCTCTGGTAGCATAATGGTTACGAGTCGGGCTGCTAACCTGAAGGTCAGCCATTTGAAACTACCAGCTGTACTGTGGGAGAAAGATGAGGCTTTCTGCTCCCATAAAGATTTACAGCCTTGGAAACCTATACTGAGTTGCTGTGAGTTGGAACTGACTTCACGGCACATAATCACCACCACCACCAATATTGTAAATAAAGTAATTAGTTTTTCAAAATTAAACCAACCCTGCATTGCTAGAATAAATCTCATTCTGATGTGTTATTTATTTTTATCTATTATTGAATTTGATTTACTAAAATTTTCTCTGGAATTTTTGCATTTGTGTTCATGAAGGATGTTCTGTGGTTTTCATGTAATGGCCTTGCTTTGTTTTGGTATCATGATAATGTTGGCTTCAGTTTCTTGATGTGTATAGGATTGATGATTTTTTTTTTTTCATTTATTTTTATTTCTACTCTGATTTCTGTTATTACCTTTTTTCTTCTTTCTCTAATTTCTTGAGGCAAAAGTTGAGTCACTGATTTAAGACCTGGGTGTAGAATTCTAAATTGATAGGTTTTGAAATTTTTGTATTTTTAAACCATGTTGTTTTCTTACTTCCCATGAAAAGCATATTGTCTTTATATTTGTTTCTTTATAAGTGTCTTTTTTTTCCTCCTTGAAACTCTTAAATGTTTTTCCCTTGTTACTGATTTTGAACAACTTAAAGTGCCTTGATTTAAATTTTTTCATGTTTCTTATATACTTGGAGTTTTTTGAGCTACTTGGTTCTGTGGGTTTATAATTTTTGCCAAGTTTAGAACAATTTTTGCATTATTTACTTCACATATTTTTCTGTCCTCTCACCCGCTTTTCAGTATATTTACAGAGTAACTGCTGAGGCTGCTTATGTACAATCAAGTAACTTGTGGGGTTTGGTGTCTTGGTTTGGAATTTAAGCTTATGGTTTCACGAAACATCCCAGTTAAATTGACCTTACAATGAGTTAAATTGTCTGTTCTACCTTCTGGTTTTTCACATAGTGCCTGGGGACTTAAATACTTGGGAGTGGTCATGCAAGGCTCAACAGTTGGTTTTTTATTTGTCTGGAACAATAGAAGAAGGGGAGAGTCAGGAATAGGAGGAGGATATGGAAATGTGTGGTTAATGAAAAACAGATCTATAGTATTCTGTTCAAAAGGAGAGAAATGCAGACCAGAAATTCAGATTTTTATGGACCGGACATTGTTTTGTTCTGTTGTGCTCGCTATGAGTTGGTAATGGCACCTAACAACAACAAACCAGATATTCTGGACCTGGGAGGCTGAATAAAAGCCTAAAAGTATATCCCTGAGATAATGTGTCAGACTGAAAAGTCATTTGAATTGCAAGGTCAGTGGTTCAAGCGCACCAGCTGCTCTTGGAAACCCTATACAGAGTCGCTATGAGTCAGAGTTGACTCAACAGCACATAACAACAACAATGTTATACACAAGGCAGTCTGTTATTCAAACTGGGAAAGCAAACATTAGAAAGATCTGACCTCAGGGAAATTTGTATTGGTGCTATATTCTTCTGAGCTATATATAAGGAGAAAATAAAGTCCAGTGTAAATTAAAATTCCTTCAT